ACACCCACACCCACACCCACACCCACACCCACACCCACACCCACACCCACACCCACACCCACACCCACACCCACACCCACATCCACACCCACATCCACACCCCACACCCACACTATCCTGATTTAGACAACTATCGATATCGTATCGATTTTAGCGCAGAACCTTATGGTATTGGACCATTCTTTGAAGGAACTACTCTTGGTTTCATCAATGACAAGACATCTCTTCTCGGTTTTGAGTTTACATAGGATGCTAAACAGTGTACCTGCAAGAGAACCACCAAGCCATCTGGTATCTACCATATTACTAGTGTTACGGATGGACTACAATTCATTGATAGCATTGGTATAGGTGTATGATTTAAAGCTCAGTTATACGGATCCAACAATACGAAGATTGTTGGTCCTAACACCATCCAAACAACTCATAATTTTGTTGCTCAAAATTTTGCTAATGACAAAAGCAACGTTCCATTGTGTGCATTAATCCATGAGGATATTGTTAATCGTGAAACTGTAACAAGCACCGGTCAGCTGGTGGCACTTTCTACTCGCACTATTGAGGTTTATAATTTCACTCCTCACGCAAGTGATAGTGATTATGTTATTCCTTCTCACTGTCCTAGATCATGCTAAATAAATTATTTCAATATATCGAGATTGTTCGCTATTTAAACAAATTGCATCTTACGCTGGATAAGGAGGTGTTGATGGCATAAAAGTGCTTATTTTGTCCCACATACTACTTCAAATCAATTTAGTCAAACAGAATAAACTCTCAATTTGTCGTTGTAACTACTCGTACTTATAGTGTTTTCTTCGCAAAAGTCGACCAGGATAAAAATTTTTCCATTCATACTATGTCGACCCTCGTATCCATAAGACTTTTGATAAAATTAAATGTATCCGTTATTTTATAGTTGAAAGTTGGACAAAAATATCTTTCCACTTTTTGGGACAGGTGTGGGTGTGAGTGTTGATACTTATACAATACTTTAATTTACTCACATTCAAACACCCTCACACCCACACTCACACTGAGGAAAACTTCACAGGGTATTCTACATTTGTCGCGTTCTGTGTAGCAACTGTTCATTCACCTCTTTCTTATTTACGCACGGCTCCATATAAACAACTAGGCAAAGCATAAGAAACTAGTCTATTTTCATATTAATTTTTTCTAGATTATTTCTTGACTATCTCTCAGTCGAGAACATGCCGATCTTGATCGTAGATTAAGAGCGGACTATTCTGAAGTGGTCTAATGAATACTTGACCAACTCAAGTTCACTCAAACCCAGCATTTTCTCTATTGAGTCTTCTGAATTAAAAAACCTGAATGGAATAAAATCCAAAAAATGTAATAAATCGCTCTGAGAGAAACAAAAATGAAAAAAGTCAAAGGTCAGGTTCTATCCTGAAAATGCTGCACAATAATATCCAATTGAGTATCTAATCAATATCTTTAAGTACTTATTTACTGAATATTTTTCATCAGAGTATTCGATCAGATAATTTAGCACCCATCAGATCCTGTGACATACTAGTAACAGAGTACTTTTTCGGGTACCTTTAACTCAGTACACTTACTAGGGAGTAACGACTCAATACGAGTAGTCAGTTCTTCTATTCGCCTATGTGTCGACAATATTTTGGCTTAACATCAATCAATCCTCGTCTTTGTAACCCACGATCACTTGAAGATTACATTGCTTGTGTGTGGGCATGGGGAAACAATCGATTTCAATCAGCAGAAAATCAGAAATAAATTATCTTAACTCAATTTAACTCAGATAAATCACTAAGAAGTCATTTAAAATACGCGATTACACTTGATCAACGGCTTCTTGCAATATCAAAGTAAAATCAAGTTTTATAGTTTCCCTTGTCTGATATTACAGAATGTTGAATCTGATCTCTTAAATTCGAGGAAATGCGCTCGTATATACACATTGAATATTTATTTTGGTGTCGTTGAGAAAGAGAAAACAAACCGAATTCCTATGGCTCCTTTTATTTTTCACTTATTTCTCCTAACTCTACTTGATTTCTCAGCTTCTTCAATCATATCTGTTGATTTGCGGAGATCACATAAAACTGATTTATGCTGGCAGAAATTATCAGAAATCATTAGCAACCAAGAAATCAGTTTTGGTACGATTGTAGATAAATGTATGAAGAGAAGAGTGACATCCGTATCCACACTCACGCTCAAAGCTCACACCCACACTCAAAGTCACACGCCCACACCTAAACCCACGGTCACAGACAACCACACTCAACCATAGGCACATTCCTGTTTGAGCAAAGACAGCTAGAATTTTTCTGGGAGCTCAGAAGCGGTTCTTTTACGATGTAGATGGGTGTAGAATGTGTATGTTTACTTCTCATCATCCACATCCATATCAAGGCTCACGTCCGCACTAACACACCGACACCCACACCTATCCACATTTACGCTGGCTTAATTTACGAAGAGTTCATTTTATGATATTAAAAGTAGCTTGTGTTCACAAGGATTGTAACCAATGATGAACGATCGCCAGGGCATTTTTGATAGAGCTTGATTCGCTAGCTATTTGTGCTTCTATTGCTGTCAACACGGTCGGAATGCATTGAGGCTGAGCTTTCAATGCCTGAATGAAAATATTTCGATTTAAAACATCTTTCCCAACAATTGTTACAATCCACACCCAATCTGTTGCAGGCAAATTGCAAATACCATTATCAATATAACATTGTGGATGTGAATTAAATGCGATCTGTTGCAGAACACAACAGCTATCGCAATTCATCAATGGCAAAACTAAAGCTTGTTGCAAACAAGCCATGGTATTCGTGATCCATGTTTGTCCGGTAGAACTAAATTGATTCGATAAAGTTAAGAATTTCGAACAATATTGCAAGCCATATTCAATAGGATATCCAGTTAAGCCACATTTTGCTTTTGTCTCCATACACTCGCGATAAAACAAGCAACTATTTATTGGTGGATTCGAGCATGTTTCACGACACATGGGTTCTGAAGTACAATTGAAACAGTTTTTCTCACAAAGGCTACATTCTTCAGGTCCAATAAGACGAGCATTTACTAGCGAGTCAACAGCACTATCGCCAACATTAGCAACATTGACGTCTAATCGTATCACTTCCGACACAGGACCCACTGGTAAACTAAGTCTGTACCATTGCGTAGCACCTGTACTATAGTTAAACGCTCCGAGACCAAGACCGTTCATACTATCAGTTTTCATAACATATTGTCCCATTTCTGAGCGCAAAACTACACTGAAATAGTCGTTAAATCGTGAACCAAAAAAATTTCCAGGGATCTCTAAGGTAATGAATTGATACTCTACATGAACTTCAGTAGCTGATGGTGGACTAGAAAATATTCTTGAAATTGTTTGCACTTCCGCCACACTGCTTGTATTTACGGTAATAATTTCCTCAGCCTCAATCAAAGCAATATTTTGGGTATCGAATGGCACCAAAACTAGGAAGACAATTGAAGACGATGGTACTAAACCTATTCTGGCCACCTGATTATCTGGACTGTGAGCAAAAATGGATACAGTCAAGCTTGGTAGATTTTTGAAAGTGATCGTACCATTGGCATCGGTTAGACCACTTTGACTTACAAGCAGATTACTTGTCAAATTAACATAAATCACGACTCCTTCAGCAGAAGTACCATTTGCATATGAAACATGAATAAGAGTTGAAATAGATCCAAAGTACAGTCGGAATGAATAAAAAATCGGCAGCCCGTTTGCATCCAAGGCGAGAAGATTGAAGCTAACATTTGCATTGGTAAAACCATTTACTGTAATAGTGTTCACAACATTATCAGTATCAACTAATGGTACTTCATTGGCAAAAATAGTGTAATTGTCTATGTTGCCTGTTAGATTTTCAAACTGGAAAACTACTGGCACGCCAGCTGCATTGAATGAAAATTGATCAGTATTTAGCAATTTTACAATAGTTGGAGAGAATTTTTGAGCGTCACCTATTAGTCCGCAATTACTATCTGCAATTATTGAAGCAATCGTTATAGTAAAGAATTAGAATGTAATGCCAAACTATGCATTTCAACATTCAATCAGTATTATTGAATATAATGAAAGGGAAGTTCTGTTTTTTCTCTATTTAAAATGTAAAAGTATCCGGAAAGACAAAAGAAAAGGAAGGAGCACGATAAAATTTAATTTGTCATACGTACTATAAGTAAAATCGAGTAATCACTAATACTGTACTATTTTTTAATGTCAATTTTTGTTAAAACTGACAATTATCATTTTTGGAATAACTTTGGGCTATGTCAGACTGTCGTGCTGCATTCTTCGTCACACGAAAGAGCAATATAAATGACATGCAGTTGAATAAGATTCATTAGAATCGCTATTTTTCTCAAGGTTCTTTCCTGATTGACGTATATTACAATTTTTTCTTCCCTGAACCCTCATAGTAGCTTTAGTTCAAGTGATGTAAATTTGTACCTATAGATTGTTCTATCTGGATTCAAATTTTCAAAAGATTCTATCTCATTTTGAAGGAATGATATATTGTACACCGTCCGACTCAGAAATACTTCTACGCACCGAATAAGTGTGCATAACTCTTAAAATGGTCATAAAAAATAAAGCCGCAAGGTTCTTTTCTCTGCTTATGTTTCAACTTGGATGTTGAAGTGAGTGGAGTATATGAGTGAAGATGTGCATGTAACAGTGGGTCCTTGTTCATCGATATTTTCTTTTAAGAATTCTGTGAAAAAGTATACTATGGATCAATTAATAAAAAAACAATATCAAAATGACTATTTAATTAAACTCGCTTGAAAAGAACTTTCGGCTCAGTGAGACATTGTCAAACATTAAAATCATCGATTCTTGGTGACAAAACTCATCGGTTTTATTAAAAGTTGAAAATAAAAATTTCGATTCTTTTTGATCTGACATGGTTTTACCAATGATGTAAGTTTTCTCGGTTAGTTATTGAAAAGAACGAACAATAATTACATCATGTATATACACATGCACATTTTCATATACTCTTCTGTGTACGTCTCACGAGAAAACTTTTGCAGTTTCATACCGCTTTGGAGCTCATATTTTACGAACTTGATAAATTAGGAAGAACACAATTCAACTCTGGAATTATTCATCCACATTGAAAGTGTAGTTCTTTGAGTGAGAGGAAGGTTGCTGAATTAGTAGTCATAATTTATTCTCTTCCTGTTTATTTTAAACTTTTCAAAGATATTTAAGAAAAAAAACATAACGTGACATTTCGTTGTTTGAAAAACAACTTCATCAGACAGAACAAAAATATTCTTACAATATTACATTCACAGTTTATATACATTTTATAATGAATAGGTATTTTGGCGGTCGATTTCTTCTTTTTGTATAACATTTAATGGTGATACGAAAACAAGACGGTAAAGGTAATGTACGGCTATGTCCTAATTGCGACCAAAAATTAAGCCAATTAAGAAAAAAGTGGTCGCAATTAGGAACACAGAAATTTACGTTGATCTCATTTTTAATGCGTTTCCGAATTGCGACCACTTTTATTAATTAGTTATGCATATAATAGATTATGAGTTCTGTTCTATTGATAAAGTTTATATATAGTCGTGAGAACAAGAACAAGCACAAAAACGAACAACAAGACTAAGAAAAGGAAGATATATAAAAGATTATAATAAACTTATGTTAGCAAAAAAAAATATCTTCAAGATAACATTTTTGGTGACTATCAAAAAGTTTTACGAACTATTTCTCATCGTTATATCGATATTATAAAAGATGCCAAAGATACTAGTGATGAAGAATAAATTTTTTGTTATCTGTTTGTTTTGTTAATAAATATTGTTTTCAATCAAACTGTTGATTAGTAGCTAACTAATAAAAGTGGTCGCAATTCGGAAACGCATTAAAAATGAGATCAATGTAAATTTCTGTGTTCCTAATTGCGACCACTTTTTTCTTAATTGGCGTAATTTTTGGTCGCAATTAGGAAGCTACGTAATGTACTGGACATATGATTCATTTCTGTATCACTATTAAATGTTATACAAAAAGAAGAAATCGACCGCCAAAATGTCTATTCATTATAAAATGTATATAAATTGTGAATGTAATATTGTAAGAATATTTTGTTTTGTCTGATGAAGTTGTTTTTCAAACAACGAAACGTCACATTATGTTTTTTTCTTAAATATCTTTGAAAAGTTTAAAATAAACAGGAAGAGAATAAATTATGACTACTAATTGAAAGTGTAGATCGAGTTACACTACATTACTACGGTTTTAGTCTAGGGTAACGGTTTTTCGAGAATTGGAATGAGTGAGTGTTCGACTAATTCGCTTACAAGTAGCTCTTGTCAGTATGAGAATATCCTGGAAGCATCAGTTTAAGATAATAGCTTTCATAAGATATCTATCAAAAGGCCAAGTTCAGTTGAAAATGGAAATCTATAAGAAAATCAAGAAGGTTTCAAACGAAATTTTATCTGATGTTTTTAGGGATGCTTTCAAAAAGCGTGCGTTCATTTATTTCACTTATAAGTGTCATCTAGTAAACCTATTAGAGGCAAATTTATGTCAAACAAAGCTCCAATGAATACAACATAGCACTATAAAACTCTTACGTAAACCGCTCGAATAATTAAAGACGCACTTATGTTTCTCTTTCAGCTGGGATGTGTGAGTATAGCCCACATCTATTCACACTCCACATACGCCATTTATCAGTTCTGGGTCTGGTTGTCAGAGAACTCAATATCTACTCCTACACTCACACCCACATTCACGCAATTTGATCTGGTGTTATCAACACGGATTATAACAACCATTTAGAAAAAATTCATAGGCGATAGTCAACAGATATTCTTTTGAATAGATTTTGTAGAACTTTCGGTAGCGCATCTTTCAAAAATGAATAAAGATTTTATCATTTATCCATATTGAGATGTATGCAAAATAAAAAGTGCGCAAAGACTTTGGGACACTCGATAGTTTAGCACTATTAGTCTCACAAGGGATTCTTTTCAAACTCATATAGGCTATCCTAATTAAGAAAAAAATACATCGAAAGTCAAATTCGACTTCCTTTGCATCTTTTTTACGAAAATCATGATAGTAGCTTCGCTTCCCTATTACTGAGGATAGAGTGGAGGAAGTGAAAAAAGAGTTAGTTTGGTCTTCAAATTTAGTTACCTCTCACAGTCGTTGTTGTTGTTGTCGTTGTTGTCGTTGTTGTCATCGTTGTTGTTGTTGTCGTTGTTGTCGTGGTCACTGTTGTCGTTTCTGTGATCGTCGTTGTCCTTGTTGTTGCTGCGATTGTTGCTGTAGTGGTATCTTCAAAAGTGAGATTGAATGTTTACCACATAATATTTTATCGACTTCAGATACGCTCAGCTACAATGGCTCCAATAGAATAGCAAAAAGTCGTAGAGTGACTCCACTTCACCATTCTTCGGTTGTTTTTATTCATAATACTGAGTTGAAATGTTTCTCTAATATTTGATGAATTTCCTTCAAGACCTCAGTAGTAGCATCTTCCTAAGCCTGGTTTCTAAGAGCTGCTCCTGTTGCTGGGTGCAGATTGAGATAATTTTTATAGAAAGACATGAAAAAGTTAGTGATGGCGAAAGAAACTCACATATTAAGTAAAATCTTTTTCTTAAAAAAATGGTTACAGATAATCAGTGCTCACAATTTTGACAAAATATTGGATGTCTTGCATTATAACGGAAGACAATGTTACGAGCTGCTTTTCGATATGACTCTTAGGTAAGTACAAACGCCAGACTTGATTCGAGAACATCGTACTCTGCAGCTCATAAGAATTTGTTCTCAGTAATAGCATATCTATACAGTGAAAAAAATGTAGCATATGGAACCAATCTTGCCATGAATTTAAAATCTGTTTTAGGTTACGTACTATGTACGACTTCTTTTTATGTTTTGTATAAAGTCTAGAACTCTTTAATTTTCAAATCGCGCGCGTGATCATCTTCGGTTCCATGGGTTACCTTTGTTTTATAAAAACTCATATGAAGAGTGTTTTGAACTATATTAAGTAGAAATTTTCACCAACAACCTGGATGTTCTTCCCAATACTGACCATGGCAGACGAATCCCAGACCCGTCACAAATCGTAACAGATGTTTTTCATATTCAATTACCAATCATATATCACTAGCATCTCATATGAATATCCAGAACTGCGTTTTTATTGCAGTTCTACAGTATCAAAT